CGCTCCATGTGCGAGGTAGCAGTTATGCAAATGTACTACTTCCCTCACCCTAAAGAGCGCTAGAATGAGGGTAACGTGAGCTAGATGCCTTTTTTTCCACTCTGCGACAAAGCACGCAGACACGCAATATGTCCGCATCACTAAATACACACCTAACCGGGGGCGAATGTACCAATTGTCTTCACCCTTGTCCTCTGTGGGTAGCCGCGACAGGCAGCTTGCCGGTCACGTTTTCCGCTGCGGGTTCTCAGCATTGATGCGCATGCCGCGCACTGTGCATTTCAAGTAGGCCATCCAGCTATCCCACACTTTCAGCTTTACTCCTGTGCACTATCAAGCGACGAGAATGACCCTCTTCTACAGCTGCGGACCTGTCCACCGCTCACACTAGAGCGATCTACTCTGCTGGTAACCGTGCAGCGCATGTTTGAGGATGATGTTGAAAGACTAAAACCGACGTAACCATTTGTTTTCATGAGAAAGTTTTTAAGGTTAGGTTATGAATGAGACCGCTACGAGAACATCGGTGAAATGTTCTTGGCTAAAAGCTGAAATATAAGAGAGGCTTGGTTCAGCTATCATTGCATTCACAGAGACATTTTATTCCATTGTTTGTTGTACTCCGAACAGATCAAGATGCCTGGCACATGGACTATAGAAGTGCCGAGCTAGTTTAGGCTTGAAAATCTGCCTTCCACTGTTTGAACAGCTGCAATGGGAGTGCGCATCAAATATTTTTTATAGTCTGCTTAGAATTTTCGAGCACTCTGGTGTAGGGCTTGTTTGCCAAAAGGTTCACATCTCTCTTCACTTTAGAAAAACAGCTTTATATCTGTTGGGATGAGGGAAGTTGTATCTCTAAGGAACTATTGATGATCAACGTCACTGTGGGGAACAGCTGTAGAAGTTTGGTTTGACACCTCTCCCAGTCTTGTTATCAACGCTAAGTGATACGCAGTGGGTCGTTTCCAGAGTTTTACTCAAGCATAAGCTGAAAGTACAGATAGGTCTAAAAAAGTTAATGGGGTGTTGAGAGAGATTTTTTATCATATCGCGACATTGACACTAAAGATAAGTTATTTCATATTGTCCCGTTGCTGCCTATGGCCTTCCGCCAGCGCACAGGTAAATCATAGATGTCTTTCCTCCAGAACGCGGCTGGCCCTACCTCGAAGAGTATCTCTGGTTCCTCCTCAATGTCGTAACAATTTGCCTTTAAGCCAAAGCGAAATGCACTGTACATTTGAGAGAGCTCCAACATTAGGACGTTCTTCAGGCGAAAAACCTGCATTTATTTCCAATGCGCGTTGTAATGTAAACCTAGAGCCTTCAGGAGGGAAATAGAATCTCGCTAACAACCGCACCACTTCCACAAGGACGGCATAATCCGTTCAAGCGATTCGCTTTTGCTTACCGATTTCTTGATCCTTCATGCAGTTCTTTTCAATCTATTTAGCTGGCTTTCCACCGAACAATTGTTGATTTTTTAGCACATGTGCCGAATAAATAAATTCTTAGTTAGATATGGCGGTATACAATGAAAGAGGGAAATGTAGGTAATTTGGCCAGAAACTGATTTCTAGCGTCATTCATGCATCCGGAAACGGCGGATGTGTCGGTGTAGAGGTTCCTTCGAATGATTCTTGTCCTTTTCCACTGGTAGGAACTCTTGTTCTTCTTGTGGCATGGTCTGTAAATAATATTTTTCAAAGTGTAGTTATCCTCTAAGGAATAAACCAGTGCAGACACAGCTTATAGTTAGAGTTTCAACTTCATTAAGGCTATCTGATCGGTTAGTGTCTAGACAGAATACTAACCCATTTTTCGGTGACACCCCCTGTCACTATTCCATCTTCTTTTCCGGAGAGTGTTGTTGGTCGGCCAGTTGTTTTCTGTTCAGGAGAATGCGAATATGGAAAATTTAGCATTCCTGAAAGTTAGTGATCAGGAGACCATTCAGTTACTACTACAGAGGAACTATTTTGTTGGCCAGCGCCAGTAACAGAGCGGACAGGTCAAATTGGTAGTCTCCGCTTATGAAAATATTAGGCTGCCTCATAGTTTCCTGAAAATTTTGACTGTTTTTTCTGTCTTTTCTGTCTTTTTGTCTTTTCTCTCATTCACCCACCCAAAGTTGTATGCCCCACCAAAACGGATCTACAATATCTCAGAAAGATGCCTGCTTGGTAGAAATCCAGAGACTTGCGGAGACTGCTGCAAAATCATAGGATTGGACGTTGCTTTCAAGATCGTGCTAGCAACAGCATCGTTGTGTGAAATACATAAAGGGGGTCGTACTTCTGCACTGGCGAGGGGGGTCGTATTCGGTTATGGTCGGGAGACGGAGAGTCGTGTGTGGCTTCGGGAGAAAGTTGCCGTGTTAGGTTGGTAAAAAAATTTTCCGGGTTGTTGACTTTCGTGATTTTTCCTGTTTTTTGTACACTATATCCCCCACACCCCCCCCCCCCCCCCCGTTCGACGGAAGATTCCTGAGGAGAAGAAGTAGGAAATTTCCCAGGAAATTCGGGAAAAAAGTGGGAAACTTGGGGAAAATCTGAGTAATCGCCCGTTTCACTTTGGATATGTACCTCCCCGACTGGAAAATGTGGGAATTTGGTAGGTAGATGTCGAGGAAGGGGGGGGGTCGTACCTACACCACCACTTCACACATCACGATACTACCCTGCTTGCTAGTCAGCGGGAGATTTCTTTACAACGCGGGATATAGGGATTGATAGGTGGCAACTCGCTCTCGCTCCATGATACAGGATGGAAGCAGAAGGTCCACTCATCGAGATTGTGGATTTCCCGTTTCGGTCAAGATGTTACCAAGAACAAGCAGTCTACCGCAAAATCACCTCGTTCTCTCGTCTGAAGAATGCAGGCTACTGTAGCCTAACGAAACATTGCAGACCGGCTCCTTTTAACGTACTGGGCCCTTCCTTCCAACAGCTCTGTTACATCTGACTATTCTACGCGTATCCATGTAAGAGAATACCTCTGTCAATCTTCTGTTCCTGCATTGCTGCGGGAGTGTAGTATGAGTCATGTCCACCGAACCCTGAAAATCAAATAATAGGCTTCATACTCCGTATAGTTTTGAATGTTGTCCCGAAAGTTCAAGACATTGATCTGCAAACAATATACAGACGCTGTTCGGCGCAGAGGAGGGGTGGGCAGCGTTTTTGCAAGTTTTTTTTCTGGCTAGTTCACTTTAAATAGGAGGCCTCACTTTGGTGAAACCCCTCATATGTATCTGCTATGAGGCCACTGGAATGCAGTAGATCATGTAACAAATGACAAGACGAAAAAAGACGTCAGCCGTAGGAGCGGCTAAGATCAGATCGACTGAGTCCCATTCTCATATCCAATAATGAAACAAGTGGAGCTATCTAAGAGAATTCGTGAGCATTTAGTCTCACGTCAAAAAAAACTAGAAAAAAAGAAAAGGTAGACAAAACTGATCATTTTCGTCAAACTTTGCTATTTGAACCTCCACCAAGTCACAACCTATTTGGGGCCACATGCGGCATTTGCTCTCCGTTAGGTCCCGATGCTTGAATGCCCGATACTTTGAATGGCCGATCGCTTCCGCTTAAGTGGCTTCTACGTGGGAGACAAACCTCATCCGGGGAGGCCATCTACCTTAGTTTCGGGTCTAGTACGTTCCTTGATCAAAACTAGTTGGTACGAATCAACTCGCTATCTGGTCCTTACATTTGACTGTTCCAAGCGCACAAATGACATGTTCTTACTCTCTCGAAAAGGTATTGAAGTTCGGTCGTTTCCTCATGAGTTGACCGATACTCAAGAGGGAAACATGTGGGCACTGCCTACAATTTCCCTCCCGCTCTCGCCATATGGACGGACTGATTGAACAACATTTTGCTTGGATGTGCAGGAGGTGGCTTTAGGTGAGCCATTCCCTGAATCGCTGTCTCTAGATCTTCCAGAAAGGGCGGGACCGGTCATGTAGCCCTATCAATACCGTAGAGCGGTGATACCGTGTAGGCGCAAGAAATTTTTTTCTCCTTAACGCTGTTGTAATCAGCGAGTCCTATTTGTAGTCAACTGCAAAGGGGGACTAATATCCCCCTATTTAGTCGCACAAAGCAGCAATGTTAAAGGCAGTTGGCACGATGGTTTCCTACTTAGCCTAAAATGCTAGTAGGGCGCTGTATAGTGGGGAAATGGCGAAAGAACGGAGTGAAACGGTCAAAATCCTGCGAAGAAAAAGCCTCCGTTCTCAGTGACTTGAAAATCGATTTCGGACGAGTTTCCCGTAGGCATCTTCACCGCTACCGAAGATACGGCTGCATATGTGTACCCATATATGCATGCAGCATCACGGCCGCTTCATACCAATCCCTTCGCTTCATAATTTGCTTAGCAAATGAATGAATACGAGCGTCAGGAACGGTCGTTTTGTGGGCGGGCGGGCGTGGCGGGCGTTTGGGACGTAAGTTGTGGCTTGATAGGACCCTTATAAGGGCACCTTCCCTGGAAACCGCTATGCAGCGCCTGCCCAGGGTCTCGGAATTCTATCCTACCAGGAGTATTGATCATAGTCGTCTTGGGGATTTATCGTGCCAACTGTCTACTCCAGCGCAGTTTAGGGTCACAAGTTTCGAAATGACTCTGCTCGAGATCCTAAAGCTTAGCTGGGGGATTCCACCCCGCAGCTCTGACTTAGCTCTTTCTGGTCGCCATCTGAGCTATTCCTCAGCGGTCATCTTCCGAGAAAAAAACGATTTCCAAAATTATGTCAAAAGACCCGGCTGCCTTTCTCGACAAGGAATCAAAAACTTCTGGAAGTAAGGCAAACATTCTTGCCCATTGGTTGGCAACAGGTTGCTGATGAAGGTTATATGTGTACTGTTGATCGAAGTTGCTTCTCACTGGAATAAACTTGACCCGAAAAAGTATCCGAAAATATCACGAATTTTTGGGCCAACCTAATATATAACCAGACATGCGAGCAAATCGTATTCCGCAAAATCGTCCATGTATTATTGATAAGGACCACTTCTGACATTATGCAGCGTTAAAGGTACTGGCTCTAGAGGGGCCAATTAGAGGACTTCTTATGTACTAGAAATACCTTTATGGAGCTGAGGACTTCGTGTAGGCCTGAAACAAAGAAGGAGCTCTGGATGGGTGAACAAATGCAAAGCACGGTAGTTCTAGTCGGATGCGAACAAGCGATCCTTTAAAAGCTCGCGTCTAGGTTGATATCACCTTGTTGCGTGTAGGACCACTGTCAGGCTTACAATGACTTGCCTTTTATTTGTGTCCACTGTAATACATTGGGGTCCACTGTCGCTCAAAAAATCGGATATAAGGCGCGCCAAGACCAGGGCATGTCAGTGACGAGTCCGTGCAATTATCCTTTTCACGGGATTGGTACGACCCCCTGGATCCTTCCTCATCGAGCTGCCGAGCGAGGGGGGGGTGGGCACATAGTAGTACACATGAATAGGAAAAACCACGGAAAGTCAGCCACCACCCTCACACAAGGTACAATACGACCCCCTCCTCGACAACGAGCAAATACGACCCCCCTTACAACGTCCCTGAGCACAAGATAAATTAACTAGGAAAATCAACTATCAGAAAAGCTTTTCTCAGCTCAAGTACGCCCCTCTCTCAGGGAATCCCCAACAACGATGCGCCCTGGGCTCGCCTGCATAGACCTCGCAAAATTACCCCTTTCCTCTTGTCGACCCGCACCTTTCACTCGAATGTAGCGCGTTCCATGCAATCGCGCTTTGATCCGTGGCATGACAATACGTGAAGAAGCAGCCTTGCCAATATTTACACTTCCCCAGATCCATGGATGTTTTGTGAAAGTGCAAAAAAACATTTATGGAAGTTGTAGCAGTACCTTGGGTCAAAATTGACGTAGGTGTTGGTGCTGGAGAATGACGAAGCTTCCCAGACCTGAATGGTGGATGTGGCGGTTGCAGGCCGTAGCCATGTTGTATGGAACCGACTGAAAAATTTAGATTCACGCTACTTTTTCTGTTTGAGCTTCAATTTAAGATCTTAAACTGACATGGATCATATTCATCCCTAATGGAGCTTCTCCCCAGTTGTCCCATTTGGTCCACGTCTTCATCCAGCTCATACTCCTCGACAATCTCTTCTTCCTCCTCAGCTTGTATCGGTTCCCGTACCGAAACCAAACGATATCTACAATCATTTCGAGATATAAGAAGCAGCTTCAGCTCCTTCTATCTCTTAGCTCCTTCTTCTAAAAAGCTTAGTCCGTGGTGTTTGACCGTTTCACTTCGCCTTTTCGCCATTTACTCCTTATATGGAACCTGCTAACATTTTAAATCGCGTATCAAATTATCGTGGCTTATGCCTTTGAGACCTCCAGAGAGAGGGGGAGTGCGGGCATCTACAACAACCCTGTATGAGGTTCTACTTTAGAAAGTGTAGGGCAGCACAAAGCACAAGATTGCTCAAGTGATCCCGCCCACAATGATAGATATCTTATCTAAGCTATCTTATAGAAATATATGAATAGATATCTTATCTTTTTCTCAATCCCGCTACCTTGGAACTTTTTGCGCTCATCGCGAAGTCTGCCTTTAAAGGCAGTTGGCACGATGAATCCCTCAAGGCGACTAGGATCAATACTCCTGGCAGGATAGAATTCCGCGACCCTGGGCAGGCGCTGCATAGCGGTTTCCCCGAGGAAGGTGCCCTTATAAGGGCCCTATCAAGCCACAACTTTACGTCCCAAACGCCCGCCCGCCCACAAAATGGACGACCGTTCCTGACGCTCGTATTCATTCATTTGCTAAGCAAATTATGAAGCGAAGGGATTGGTATGAAGCGGCCGTGATGCTGCATGCATACATGGGTACACATATGCAGCCGTATCTTCGGTAGCGGTGATTGGTAAGATGCCTACGGGAAACTCGTCCGAAATCGATTTACAAGTCACTGAGAACGGAGGCTTTTTCTTCGCAGGATTTTGACCGTTTCACTCCGTTCTTTCGCCATTTCCCCACTATACAGCGCCCTACTAGCATTTTAGGCTAAGTAGGAAACCATCGTGCCAACTGCCTTTAAGCGATGTCGGAGCGTAAGCGCAATCGTTATCGCTAGTCCACCACTTTGGTGCTCCTACAAGAATAGCTAACAATATTTTCAGCTGAAAACTACCTGGGCATGAGGTAAATTACGCTCGTCGGAGCTGCATTCCATGTTGTTGCAGGTAGAGGACTTTGATAAACAACAGGATACGGTGGACATGAGCTACAGCCTGCAATCTGTTCTTGAATTCTCCGGAACCTCTCCTCAGAAGAAAAATTGTGAAAAGTCCGTTCTCACTTCCATTCTCAATATTAAAAGATGCATTATTACTGATACGAGAGCAAAGGACAAAGCTCTCGGCGTTGATTAATCCCGTTTCAGAGTGCGGCGCATGCTCATCTTCCATTCAGGATCGTAACCATGCTGATGATGAAAGGTTAAGAATTATGGGGGGATTCCGATCAAGGATCCCGCCCACGCGGTGTGGTAGGTTTCGCTACTTGCATGTCCAACATCATCTCACCTTGTACATACAACAAAACCGAACTTTATTTTTATTCCCCGATCAGAAGACTTTCAGTCCTGATAGTATACTAAATCCTACACAATTTTGTGCGGGTTTCCCTGTTTTCCATTCGCAAACAAATTGTTCGACTACTTGAGAGCTGAAATTTCTTTCTACAAAAAGGTGGGCAGGTTTGCAGGCGCATTGTAGTCACCGTGGTACCATTTTGATGTCGTGAACATTTTTCAAATGCAGCCCTCCGCAGCGTGGCAAGTCTCCTGGTCGAGTCATCTCGCCACAACAGGTTTGGCGAGATCACTGGAGTGATGTCGAGGCCTGCTTTTAATATGGATGAGGAATCTATAGAGGATTTATTAGTTGTTTTATGCGCTACTCATTCGGACGTTGCCACAGGACCTTTTCAAAGTCTTCTTTCGTGGAAGTTTCACACCTTATGTGTTACGCATTTAG